CCCCAAAACCCCAAAACCCCAAAACCCCAAAACCCCAAAACCCCATAAATCAACTTCTATATTGCAAATTTTATAGTTTATATTTTAAATCAATATGGATTTGACCGAGCTTCAGAATCAAGAATATGAGGTTATTGCTGATAAGACTCTTAGCAATCAGGACCATCTGTTCAAGCTCATTATCATTGGTGATACCGGTACGTAATACTAAAAAATAAGCCATTATTTCCTCTGCAAATATTTCATTTTACGTTAGCCCAGAATCTCACTTTCCTTATAGGAGTTGGAAAGAGTTGCCTCCTCAGCAGAGTTATGGACAACGATTTCAAAGAAGAGCACAATGTTACCATTGGTGTCGAATTCGGATCGTTTGTCATCAAGATTGATGGCAAGATTGTCAAACTACAAATCTGGGATACTGTAAGATTTACTTCATTGGGTTGGAGAGTTTTATTTCGGATAATATCTGTAATTTATGTAATTTTGACTACATATCATTAAATATCAACGATTTCTGCTAACATCTATCAAAAATCTTGAAATCACAAGCTTGAAAAGAATCTAAACATTCTATAGGCTGGGCAGGAATCTTTCAGGTCCATCACCAGAATTTTCTACAGAGGTGCACATTGCGTGTTCTTGACATACGATGTGACAAGGTAATATTTTCTTGTTAATTATACCATAGAGATGACACCTTCTTGGACGTTATCGATTGGCTCAAGGAAGCCAAGCAGCACTCAAACCCAGACATTCTTCTGTACCTAATCGGTAATCAAGCAGATTTGGAAGATGAGTAAGTACTCTAAGAATATTCTATCATCAGAAAAGATAACAAAGTTATACTTTTCTACATTACCTTTTCGTCAAGCTTTGATTTCAAGCTAATCATTCTTCAGCCGTCAAGTGACAAAGGACAGAGCTATCGAGTTCCAAAAGAAGAACAAGATCGATGCCTTCTTCGAGACCTCAGCTAAGACAGGAAACAACGTTGAGGAGGTCTTTGCTCTTGCTGCCAAGCAGCTTTATGCCATCCACAAAAGAGACTCCGTAAGCGATCTTTTATATTATAAACTGACTTTTGTATCATAGAAAGGAGAGACCATCGAGGATCCTATCAAGTCTGATGGAGGACCAACCAAGCTCAATGTGAACGAGCATAATGAGACTGACGGAAAGAAGAAGAAAAAGGGTTGCTGCTAAATATTTCTCACTTCTATTTACTTTTGATATGATTTTTATCTCCAACAATAAACTCTCATAAAGGGGTTTTGGGGTTTTGGGGTTTTGGGGTTTTGGGGTTTTGGGG